GGGGGCAGGATTCGTGCCTGTAGCAGCTGGCACCCCTTCCTGCTTGCCTGGCTGGGGCTGCCCCCTCCTCAGGGGCGCCTCGGCTCAGCCCCTCCCCAGCCCTCTGCTGCTGGATCAGGCCCCAAATCCCCAAGGTCACGAGCACCAGTGTTTCCCCTGAAGCTCCTGTCACCGGGCAGCCCGGCAGGGCAGGAGTCACGCCAGGCCAAGGAGGGGGAGCCGTGGCGGGGGCTGGTGCCCTGGGCTTGGCCCGCGCCTGCTGCAACCTGAAGAGGGCCAGGCTCTCCCTGCCAGTCCCCTGGTGCAGCCAGGCCTGGCCTCTCCTGGGGCAGCTTTGTGCACGGAGACTCCTGCAGGACCTGGGCTGGGACCCATCTCGCCCCTCCCAGAGCAGCCGCCGGATGTGGCCCCGCTCCTCTGGACGTCTGGCCCCGACCAGTGCCCCCAGCAAGGAGCCTCTGCACCCCAAGGAGGAGCTGCCGCGACCCCAGGGCTTGCAGGGGTCGGCACAGGACCGAGCCCTGCCTGTCCTGCCCCTAGCTGTGACGCTGCTGCGCCACGCGGCTGGTCCTGCGGCAGCCAGCTGGGCTGCGGCCTTGACGTTGGCTGCCTTCACCATAAAGTCGGGCTGAGCTCCCCCATGAGCGTCACGGCGAGCTGGGCCTGGCGTGCGTGCACGCACGAGATCCCTCTCTGCTGGCTTTGTTCCTGCCCTCAGTCCTTGCAATGGAGCCACGCGGCGAGCGCTGTCTCCTGCGGATGGGATTTTGCTGCCGGGGGCTCTGGCTGCATCGTGCTGTCAGCTCCGGTTAGCTCAAATCAATTTTCCAGGGGCGGGCGGGAGCCCTCTAGCAGCCGCCCCGATGCCTCCACGCAGCCCTGCTCTGTGCTGCCCCATGCAACACCCCGACAGCTCGTGCTGGGGCTCCGCACGGTCCCCTAAGGCAGGGGCGCGTGGGCCAAAGGGAGCCTGAGTGTCGTGGCTCGTGGCCTGGGGCTGCTGGGCTGGGGTCCAGGGCCACTCTGGGGCAGGTGACGTGCTGCTTCAGGGTCCTGCGCTCGGGGCGCCCTGGCATGGAGTTTCGGGGCAGCAGGCGCCTGGCTCTGAGCCTGAGGGGCGCGGTACCTTCCCATCTCCCACCATGATCTGTGGGCTGCCCTCACGGCTAGTGCTGCCGGGCAGCGGAGATGCAGGTGCAAGGCTCTTGTTGTCCAGCCAGCGCAGGGCTCTGGGGCATCCCTCCTTTGTCCCAGGCTGCGGCCGGACTGGCATCCGGGACACTTACCACTGGCGCAGATCCCAAAGCCACGGTCTTGTCCGCCTGTCTCCCAGTAGCTTGCCCCTCGGCCATCTCCATCCAGCCGTGACCCGGGGTGCAGCCTCCTGAACTGTCCTGGTGGCCTGGCTGAGCCCCAGGCTTCCTCAGCACCCCTAACCCTTGCCAGGACGGTGCCCCCCATTCCCCCGTGTGACTGCAGGCCCGGCCACCCCCCAGGACGCCTGCACCACGACTGAGCAGCTTCTTCTAAAACACCGGTTTATTAATGAACCAACTGAAAGAAACGATGGGGCTGTCTCCAAAACGGGCGGCGCGGCGGAGGGGCATATTGTACATGTGACATGTAAAAAGCTTCCTGCCTGGACCAGGGCTTGGCAGGCCAGGGAGGCCGGGACGGGGTCAGTGGCTAGCCCTGGGGAGCCCCTTGCCCTACGGTGCTGGGGAAGGGCCCTGGAGCCTGTCTCCCTGGGGCTGAGCGGGAACAAGCGCTGGCAGTGGAAGCAGGACGCAATGGTCCTGCAGGGATCGTCCTTGGCCTTGCCCGGCTGCCCGGTCCGGCTGGGTTTCTCACAGAGAACGGCCCGGAGCTGGTCACAGGGCAGAGGCTGGCGAGTCGTCTCCAGCACCCCAACGCCCCAGGCCGGCTCCGTGTGCCTCCCCTCCTGTGCCCACAGCTGAGAGATGCAGCCGGGGCCTGCCGGACCCTGGGGTGCATGTGGTGCCAGGCTGGTCTCTGGGCAGAGGTCGCACGTGCAGAGCTGGGCTAGGGGCTGGGATGCCAGGCTGGCCGCAGGGGGGCCGGCGTCCGGGGGCT